CTCGTCGTGTCTCGGATCCCCGCTGGCTGTGTCCCTGGCAGAATGGCCAGCACCGAGCCACTCATGTTTTTTGCTTCTGGGTTTTTTTACTGGAGGTCACTGGAAGCAGCAGCTATTGGAAAGTGGCCTTTGCATTTCTCGTGAAACTCAGATCGAGGATGCTGCCCAATGTGCCCAACACACGGAGTCCCGAGGGAGAAATCATTTCGTGCTGGTAAATGATGAATCTCTCTGAAGAACCGGACTGTATCTGCTCTTCTGATAGGAAGCTCAGAGCCACAGTGGTGCTCAAACCACAGAAACCTTTATGAAGACTTATTTGCTCTGTGGAACCAGCTTGCAGACTCCAACAGTTTCTGTCCTGCCCTTGGCCGTAGGTGCCCTGTGAAAAGCAGAGCCTCAGGGAAGCTCGCCTGGCTCCCTCTTCAGCTTGCCCGCTGCTGCCTGTTTCATTTAGACATGACCTTGGAATAAGACTTTCTGCTTCAGCTTCGATTCTGGCTGCTCTGCCTTTCCCTCTGGACCTGACACTCTAAACTCCTGTGGGTCCCAGACTGCCCTCCCTGGACGTGAAATGCTGCTGCAGCCCATCCCTGCTCGGACGCGCTCGCCTGCCGTGCCGTCCCCCACACTCGGTCCAGGCTCTTTCTCACCCCTTTGCCAGAGAGATGATGGGCCAGCTTCCTACTCCCTCCTCTTTTGGGGGAGTCCTGCTTTTCTACTTTATAACTACATGCTGGTTCTCCATCTGAGCCACATCCAATCTGAATAATAAGTCTCTCTTAGTAGAGCACCAGGCATTTGGAAATGTTTTATCAAATTCAGAGCCAGTTTCACCCCCGCTGAGTCTCTCCATGCAGCGTTTGCCTCATCGCTCTACCTGGTAGTCTCGCAGGCTCACTGTTACAAAAATCAACCAAGACCCCAGCCTCCCAATCCTCCCCGTGAGTTCAGAGGCGACATCGCTTCCCTTCTGCTTCGGGCTCCTTTCCTTCATCCAGGTTCTCAGTGAGCCTCTTGTCCTTTTTCCTGCTCCTCCCTGTATGCGTAGTTTGGATTCACCTTATGTCATACAGGTGTTAAAAAGGGGAAGAAAAGAAAGAAGGAAAGAAAATCGCAATCGGATGTTAAGGAATCCCCAGGCTAATAGACAATGGGCACTGAGCCTGGTCAAGACCTCAGGCAGAGCCTGCTGAAAAGTCTCAGAGGCGGATGAATAGGCGATGCTGAGATTGCACGAAAGAGACATACAGCGAGCCACGCACCTGACCCGGTCCACCCACATAGCCTCGCACGCGGTGAGGGAAGGAAGCCCGTTCCAACAGCTTTGACCCTTCATATTTGCAGAGAAGGTTGAGTGACAACGCGAATCTAAACCTGTGCCTTCACTGGCCTAGAGAAAACTCACAGAAGAATTAAGGGGATCTGGCGATCTGGAAAATCCACAGTGGAAAGCTGATTTAAGCCTATTAAGGTAACATAGTTGAAGCCAAGATTGTGTTTCCTGAGAGAAATGTTTACTAGGAGCCTGATATTAAGAAAGTCAGGCTTGGCTATACCTGAGTTTTCTCTAGAGTGATCCAATTTTGGCACCTCGGCTTACAGCTAGACCAGGCTTCTTCCACTCTGATTCGAGTTTTATGTGCGTTACAAACTACCACACTAAAAATCCTGGCCCTTGGAGACAGGGAGAGGTGGTGATACACGATACTGCCTGGAGAAAATGAACATAATCCAGTCATCAGAATGAGTGACTGCTTTTCGAAAAGGAGACGGGATGGTCACTCCCTCCTCCTCCCCTTGGAGTAGTTGATGTGGGATTCTGGAAAGAATACTGTACAACAAAAGCATAAAGAAAAGAGAAGGGATATATACTTGCCAAGTTTTGCAAGGGAGCAGGGGCACACCCTAGGGTGGAGGGCAGTGGGGAGGGCCCATGTTTCATTATTACCACACTCCAGCGATTCTAAATGATGTCGGTGACAACATATCACCCCCCGCCCCCTTCCCCACATTAGTGGGTCGTTACAAGGGAATTCAGCATTTAGAATAACTGGCTTATCATATAGAATAATCTGATAGGTATTAAAAAAATGTCACAGGTTGCTAAGGCTACCATCAGTCTCTTCACAGTGGAAAACAGTTTTCTCACGTGATTATTACTTTGGCGAAGGTTACAAGTCACAGCAAACCTGCAGACACCAGTAGGCACATTCGAGGGGCAGAGTCAGTAACCCCCAGGCAAGAGTTTAAGGTTTCACCTGTATTGTGACCAGTGCTAGACAGAGTGAGGCTTTTTTGTTTATCTCAGAGTGAAATTTTGTCATCTCAGAAAAAATGCAGGACCAGTGGTCTCTGTTTCTTCCCTGATGGATTTTAGGGTGGGAGGTCCAAGCTTGGGTAACATGGTAAATTGGTCAGTTTCCTTCTTTCCTGGGATTATAATTCAAAAATAGGTAAATAAATTCCTATTTGTTCTTCAGAAGACCTCCATGAACTTTTACGAACGTGCATGGATGATCTCTTGGGAATAGACACATAACGTATTTTCTTTATCTGTAAAGTTAGAGAAAGGCTGCTGACGACCCGCTTTGCAGAAAAGTAATGGAAATCGTGGAAGAAGATTCAGAAAACTCTTGGTGGCTCAAGCACTACAAAGTCACTGGTCGTTTCTACAGATTCGTGGGGCGGGGGCGGGGTGGGGGGACGGACTGAGAACCAGGTTTTCATTGACTTGTGGAAGCGGAGGCCAGCGGGTGGTACATGTGAAGGGTCAGTGTAGAAATGTCCTTGTCAGCTAGGTGGCATTTTCCTTCCTCTGTTTGGGAGATGTGGCTCAGACGAAGAAAAAGGACATTACTCACTCAAGCAGGCGTTTCCCGAAGGGAGGAAAATCGGCTGCCTTTGTTTAGTTCGTAACCAGTTGGAAGATGAGTCAGCAAGAGATAAAAGACTCTGAGATGAGCGATCATCCTTCAGGGCTGGATGGAGGCTGTCCCAGGGGGCAGCAGGTAGCTCTCGTGCCTACCTTCCAGGGGCCAGGACCCTCAGCTCCAGTCTGCACGTCACAGGGCGCGAAATTGTAAATGTCACATGAAAAGTGAGGCTCTTGATGTTGCCAGTCAGTTCAAATATAGTACAAAATGAGAGATTTTTACATGGCTCTTAAGACTGCAGATTTAACGAGTGACTCTAGAGGGTCTTTACTTCTGATTAAAGCAGGCGGCAGTGATGCTGAGACACACTTGTAGCACAGCGTCCTCTGTGGCACTCAAAGTGACCCGCAGCTACGACTGGCGCTGGGAGCTGGGCTGGACAGTGACAGAGAATGAACAACCATCCTCCGTTTATCCTAAGCCCTGGGAGAATGTGGAAGGTGCTTTCCGTGCCCTGATGGCGACGGCGGTGGGAAGGTGTCAGCTAACAGTCATTGAGTCCTCGCCACACTGCAAGCATGGTCTGGATCCTTACATAAACCCCGCGTTTCGTCGTCGCTCCGTGACACGAAAGGAAACAAACGCTGAGCGCTTATTTAATTTCCTCGAGTGATTAGGCTATTCTGGGTCTGAGCCGGGACGTTTCTATCCGAGTGTAAATGGTGGCCTCTCTCGGTGACAGCGCGGTGCACCTGCGCCAGGTGAGCTGGATTTCCGGGGTGACAGGCAGCTCTGGCACGGAAGGCCGCCCGCGGAGGTGGCCCTGGGCCTGGGCGATCCCTCTGCCCGCTCTGGAAAACGGTTTCAAGGCAAAAAGCAGTAGTCTGGCTTTGGGCACAAGTCAAGTGCTTAGCCCAGTTCCCGAAAATTTGATAAAAATTCCAGCTCTGTGGGAGGTGGACAGCGTGGCACCCGGAGAGTAAATGCCCCACGCTGCATCCGAAGTCCCCGGGGGCGGATCCCGCGGTGCGGATTCCACGCCTCCACCCTCCCTCCCTGCGTCCACACATCTTCCCTGGTGAAGCGCCCACCAACGTCACAGGATGACCGGAAGAAGGCGTCGTGCCCAAACCGGATCTTTGCATTCACTTTAATAAATGTTAGGAAATTGCGGTATCTTAGGAAATTCCTTGAACTGTTGATGTGAACCGCCAGGCAAGGAGAAACACCAAGGAGGCGTCTCAGTAGGGCGACCGCCTGCCGTCTCATTCAGAAGGCTCCGCTCATTTTCACCCAACTATTTCTCTGCTGTGTTACTTCATCCGAGAAAGGCCGATGACCTCTGCTGATGACCTCCGCTTCCAAGCACGTAAGGTCATCGGCCGAATGCTGGCCAACACCAGGTCAAGGATAAAGCTCTGCTCCCTAGATCCTTCACGAAGATAAGACTATTCTGTTTTGCTGACAGCTCTATCCCCAGCACCTACACAGCACGTAGTGGGACTTAAGAAAAAAATCTGATGACTGATAGACTAAAGTTCTTAATCTTGGAGCATCATTATAGAGGCCTCTTTATTAAATTATAACGTGCGTATGGACCATCTGTGGATTATGTCAAAATGCGGGTTCTGATGAGGTAGGCCCTAAGTGGGGGTGGGGCCTAGGCTTCTGCATTTCTAAGTAGCTCCCAGGTGCTGTGGATGCTGCTCACCCCAAAACACATGTTGAGTAGCAAGGGTGTGAGGGACAGGTACTCTTTCCTGGAAACCAGCAATGTACCAGGCATGGCATGTAGGAGGACTGCACGCTCTTTCATATAATCATCATAAAGATTTGTTGCATGCATATGGTATCCCCACATTCAGATCTGGAAAGGACAGTTTAGACGTGTTCAGGGGTTGCCTATAGTCCTAAAGATAATAATAAAGGACAGAGCTAGAAGCTACTCTGGAAAATGAAAAAGTCTCGTGTGAACGTTAGACATCATTATATTTTTAATAACTTTAACTGTATTCAAGGTTGATGATGATCAAAGATCACTTGGTGGTATATTCGTTTACACCAGGAATGCGTTAATGAGTTTTTAACTCTGAATTTTAATGAGAGGTTGTTGATCAAAATGTCTCTCCCCGTGAGAGAAATGAGTATCACCTAGGCATGAAATCTAGTTAAAGGAGATCAGTCTTGTTGAAAAGATGTTCAGAATTGAAGTACTAGAGTCTGCCATGCAAAACATGTCAGCTAATGTAATATCTGGTAATTCATGATGGCCATCTGCCTTATCCCAGCTGCTTGGGCTGGGGCGGGGGGGGGGCTTGGTGGTGGGAGATAGAGGTGATAAACTCTGGATGAGAAATCGTCCACCCGTGGCTCACACCATAAAGCTTTTCATTAGCATCAACTGGCAGTCAATCAACAGGAGGCTTTTCTCTTGTACAACAATTGCTTAGATCGAGACTAGAAGGATTAAAGCCAATAAATAATAACTTTTCAAAGTCAAGATATAAAGGAGAAATCCGTAGCTCCAATGATCATGCCTGTGTTTGTGTGGCCATTTATCAGTGAGCCCCGTGTTTGGACAGAATTCTAGAAAAGAAATACTAATGTCCTTTCCAGGAAGCTGGGATACGATTGTCCACTCTGTCACACGCAACTCTGAGGTCCCTCCCATTGGCACCCTGATTGGTTTCTTTATGTGTGGGGCCTGTGAATCAGCACTGTCATGGAGTCCCCCGGTAAGTCAGTGCCCACCGTGAGAGGCACTGCCTTATCCCTCATTCCCGTCACACCCATGTTTCGCCCAGCGGTGAGAGGGACATTGCTATACTGGCAAGAATGCGTTAAGCAACTCCACTGACCTGTTGGCTCCCCGCCAGAGCCTTTTCTAAATGGTCACTGGTTCTGCTGCTCCAGGGATTCTAAAATGATGGTGATGTAAGGAGCGATGCTGAGTTTCCACCTTCCCAGAGTGTCACACTTTACCTTTCTTCAATACTCAGAGCTATTAGTGTGTCAGGATGGTCGTGGTGGGGGATGAGGGGGACGATGGAAACTCTGGCTTAGAAACGTCTTGCTGGGGAGACTCTAAAGTGTAGCTGCTTCTTTTGTCTTGTGTCAAAACCTGAACCAAGCAATACTTACTTTCTTGGAAATCAAAATCCACGTAGAAAAGATTGAAGTTTGTAAATCTCTGGCTGGTTGCAATTTTTTTCAGTGTATCGGAGAGTTGTTCTGCCCTCTGAATACAAAGGAAAGGGAGAATACCGTGAAATCTAGGCTTTGGCTTTTGTGAAACAATTCAGGCAGAAGGCAGAAATCAATAGTCCCACCCCACCCCAAGCCAGCAGCACAGAGCAGCTCTGCACATTAAATTCTATTCATGTGCAAATGGCCAACCAAGGAGAAAACTGTTAAAATTCATTAGGAACCAAATCCGTGCAAAGTAAAGTAATAAGATACCACTTTCCTCCATGGGATTGGTGGAAAAAAGATGAAGAATCATGATAAGAGAGCGTATTGCCATGGGACAGGCGCGGGGGGATGTCAATTTGCTTAACCTTTCCAGAGGGCGATTTGGCAAAGTGGATCAAATCTTTAAACAAGTCGTACTCTTTGACCCCATAATTTTTCTAGAAATTTGTCTCAAGGAAACAGACATGGTACACAAAGCCACACACACACACACACACACACATATATTCATCACAATGCTATTTATTACTGTGAAAAAATTGGAAACCCACATATCCAACACCAGGGGATGAAATAAATTCCAGTACGTTCATATACTGTATATTCTAAAAGGATTATAACATTACGATGTGGAGAAATCATTTAGAGCAGCAGAAGGCATAAAACAGTACGTG